TTCTTCTCGGAGACCTCATAAGCCCCACATACACGAAACTCTCAAAAATTCAGAGAGCATGCACCCACCATAGCCACAATCTTAGTATGAAATACGCCCAAACGCTCATCCAAAATCTCCATAATACCCTCTTTAATCGTAATAAAAATCGCAGGAGTCTGTTCTGGAATATTGCGAGTGATCTCCGACGAAATGGACTCTTGCATCTCCTTATCCAAGGGTCCGACTCTAGTACCCGAACCCGATCCCACACTAGGAACTTAACCACCTCAAGTGACCTCCATACTAAAAATCAACAATTCAACTATCAGAAAAACACTCAAGAAATTTCCACACTTAGCAAGTTCCTTAGTATCCTCGTGACTTACCTTGTCTCGAGTACGGATCATCTGTATTTAGTAGTACAAGCCCAATACTACCTTCCACAACTATTTGTACTTTCCTCAAGATCGACCCGATTCCCCTAAGTTGCTTCTATACTACCAATCACTTATCACTCCTGATAACAACACATCTAGCATGCTAACATACTTCCTAGGTCCACCTAAGATCTTCTTAACACCTATCTCCACCATCAGCTACAAAAGAAATTCCACTAATGTCCACTAACTACCTTACGAATATAATTACATACAATAGGAACTAGATAACTCTTTGACTACAAGGTCTCACACTACAACAGATGGAATCAAACGGGAGCTACACAATTGAGTTAAACCTAACCTTTTATAATTATCTAATTTCTATAACATGTTACCTATCATATTCGCTTGATAGTTAATTGATACTAATGGAGGTTCCTAAAAGCACAAAGCAAGCAACATTCGAGCATCGAGTTCTAACCAATGCACTGCCTAATGAAGCCACTCTATCATATCATATGTAATCCATTCTAGGATGCAGTTCTAGAGGCTCATACAGTAGGCATACAAAGGCATCTCTCCTAACATTCCATCATACAATTATGAGAAAATCCTTAGCCTTAATCTGGCATGCCATACATATATATACATATTGATACATATAAACATGTATGGGTATTTTAGGGAACACTTACTTGATACCAACTTGTAGAGTCCCAAAAATACTAAGTAAAAAGTTTTATTCTTAAATAAACCAAAATTTTCAATCATTTATTTCAAAACCATCAAATTGTAGCAATGTAGAAAATTATTATCAAAGTACAATCCAAAATCATAAAATACAGAACACTGGTGGATGCTATGCGATCATGCCATGCCTTTCCCCCATCGGAATAGAGTACCTAAAAAACATTTAAAACATAAATCGTAAGCACAAAGCGTAGTGAGTTCTCCAATATAATGCATACCATACATACGTATCAGTACAAAGCTATAACGGGTCTATTTCACACCCATGTCTATTTCACCCATGATTCCCTGCCAACTCAAACAGTATTTTTCAACTGAACATGTTTATTTCACTCCCTAGTCTATTTCACCCGAGAGTGCCTTCCAACTCGATTGGTTTTTTCAACCGAATGGGTCTATTTCACCCCACATACATATAGCATACAAGAATACAAGCATACAATAATAGTAACAAAGACAACAAACACACATGACACCTAGTGCACTATAGTATAGTGAGTAGACTTACCACAATTGATAATAGATAACTCTCACACCCAAGATATTGGTCTAAGAATCTCCTCACAATATAGATATCAAAACCAACCCTAATTAACATTTAGGGTGATAATTATAATCAATGGTTCATTGCTTACTCTCCCTCTCCCTCTCTCTCTCTCTCTCTCTCTCTCTCTCTCTAGTAAAAGACCATTCTACTTTTTCCAAGCTAGACCCAACCAAACATAGCCCAATGCCTAAAAATGATCCAGTGTTACTTCCGGGAGTACGTCATGCGTACTCCTTCCTTACGCCATACGTACCCAGTTTTCAAAGAATGAAAAATAGGGAAAAGTCTCATTACGCAATGAGTACTCAAGGGTTACACCCCGTATAACCGAGCAAATTTCGAACTCTTCATTAAGCCCTTGATAGCTTATGACCAAACGTACAACACTCAAATCTGGCTCTAATGGAAGTCTAAAGTTCCCGACTTTATCACTTTGCATGGATTAATGGAGTCCAAAACCAAAACCTAGATCCTTATCATCTTCTAATGACTCCAAACCCTTGCATGGGTGAAAAGTAACCATCAAGATCCCATTTTTATGACTTAGAATCCTCATAAATTAAAAGATATGACAATCACAATCTCTGGAATAGATTTTACTCACAAGAACCAAAACCATAGGACCAAAATCATGAAAAGTCTAAGCTAACATAGACCTAAACCAAGAAATCATAAAAGTTCAAGATTTATACCTTCTGAGGCTTGCAAATGGGATAGAAGTTCTGGATATTCAAGCTCTAAGCTCACCAATGCTTCTGTAATGGGCTCTTTCTTCACCAAACCCACAAACACTCACTCAAAATGCTTAAGATCTTCATAAAGTAGCCAGGGTTTCAAAATGATTTCTTTGAGGAGAGTGGAGGCTTAACATGAAGAGGCTTTAAGGGACTTAATGTGACAAAATAGGGTCTTAACCCTAAAATTTAGGGTTTGGTCTTCAACTTGAGTATGCCATGCGTATACACCATGTACACCCAATGTACTGCATGAAGTCAGTATTCCACTTTTATGAATTACGTCCGACGTACACTTCAGGTATGCTCAACATAAGGACCAAAATTGCAAGATTTTAGTACTTTTATTCAAGAATGGAAAATACATGGAAAACAAATGTAACACCAAATCTATGGTTTTATTTGACGTACTTAGTATACCATAATCTAATGCTAACTTAATGGTGTGCATATGGTGATTAAGGATAATAATATTTATGTTGTGTTTGATGAAAATGAATAATATCTTATGAATTTATGGGAAATATTTATAGTGAGGATTGGTAGTGAATCTAGGGATTTATATTACTTTAATCAAAGTAATTTATTTAATTTCTTTGCTAATTTTGTGTATATGGTGTAACTTTTTTTTTTCTAAGTCTATGGCATAACTGTTGTAGTTGTGATTTAATCGAGAATGTAACATAAAAATAGAGTAAAGAAAGAATTAAGAACACAATATCTAAATATAATATGTTTGGTTGGATTATGTTTTCTGGGAATACATAGAAAATTAGAGAGTACAAGTTGAATGCTAAAAGCTCTTAAAGCTCTTTTCTAACTCTAGTATTCATCCTATGTATAAGGATAAAGAAAGTATAAAAAAAATATATGGGACTGAGACACATAAGCTTCGATACAAAATTCCCTTATAATAAACAAACATACAAACAAACTTCGACACTAATAACGACTCAAACAGACTTTGACACCTCATAATCACTTTCGACCTCAACATTCTCGCCCTTTGTGAGAAGTCTCAAATCTAAGTCGTTAGCATCTGAGCTGCTTGATGTAACACCCTTCGACTCTCTGAATACCAGTTGATCACTTTGTGAATTTCATCTTTGTCTACTTCATTATTCTTTGTGAAACTATTCATTCGAATAACAAGATTTGTATAATGAAGAGTTGTATATCTTTCCACATCGCAAGCTTGAAACAAAAATTTCATGTTCTTTCCCTTCTTATTCTTTCCAACGAACACAATCCCAAGAGGCTTCATACAAATCTCCCCATCATCAAAGCTCTTCAAACTAGCTTGACTTTTTAACATACATTGTGGCATTGTGATCTAGTTTCCAACTACCAAAGATAATTCGACATCAGTTAAAGAAAGATACGCATAATAATTGTCTATGAATAACTTGATGTGAGCAAATCCGATTAAGAAATCTTCTATGCTTGTTAACTGAAGCTTTGAGACATCAGTTCCCTTCAAAATTCTTGCAACGCAAATTAATTCATGAAGATTCATTAAAAGGAAGTCAGCCACTAAAACATCAAAAGTAACATTATTTGCTCTGACAACATGAAATCAATAATTATGCAAGACCCCTTTAAACAAAACTTCTTTGGAAATGTGGAGAACTCAAATTATCTTGTCCAATAACCAGATCTCCTCTTTCCTCTTTGCAAGACAAGCATGAAATCAAATCTTCATTCTTTTGTATTCTTCTTTGTCTTCAAATTTATCAACAATCTGATATTGAGTAGCCATGAACGTCATCTTGTTAATTGGAAAATTAAACTGATTAAAAATTAGTATTTTATGTGGCATAACTCTTCTTGGGAATTTTCTCAAAGTGATGCATTTCCCCAGTAACCACCAAAGCTTCAATATTTTCATAGCAATAGTGCTTTGAATTATCAACCTTGTCAAGAATAGGAGGGTCATTTGCTCTTTGTCAAAGAATGCTTTGTATCTGCCTTTGCCTCTCCATTTCTTTTTCAACTGCAACCTTGTTTTCTTTCGCAGTGGGTTCTATAGAGATACCTTTTCCTTTGTCCTTCATCTCTTATGTTGATGGAGTTGGCTTCGACGAACTTGATCCACTAACACCATAACCAATTACAACCCCTTTCGTTAAAGGTCTTGTTGTTGTTGTTGTTGTTGGTGTTGAAGTAATTGTAGATGAAGTCTTTGGCAACAAGGTGAGAATTTAGTAGAAATGACTTTCCTAAACTACTTTAGCATCATCATATCCTTTCGAATAACCACTTCCTCCATACTAACCTTCGAACCCATGTTCATGCCAATATTAACTCCTTCTCCCATTTGCACCCCTGTGTGAACAGGTGGGGCATCTGTTGGCATCAAATTAATTATCTTCGCAAGATGAGCTAATTTAGCTTTAAGGGATGACTCCAAAGATAGAAATTTCTGAGACAAAGATTCCAGAGTGATCAACGAATTAGATGAAGAACCAATCTTCGACACTAATTCCTTAAGATTGTTCAATGTCTCTTCGATTTTGGTAAAACTCTGAACATCAAGTTCAACCTTCTTATCAACTTTCGGAAGTAATGACTAATACCATTTTACCATATTTGTAACAACATTTGTGATTATATCAACTTCGGTATGAAGAGAACAGTAATCATTTGTAATAGTTTCCACTTGCTTCTCCATATCAACCTTGAGTTCCTCAATCTTCCGATTGACGTCTTCACGAACCTTTTAACAACTTGAACAAACAATATGTGCCTTTCTTTTGCAACAGCTTTCAACTCCGTAAGCACATCATTAAAAGTCGAATACTTAACCTTGACATGATTCTCATTATTCTTGTTCATTAGATCCAACTCATTTCTTAATTGAAGCTCTTGAGCCTTGAGCATCACATCGACTTCAATTCCAGACACATAATTTTGAGCCCTTGCATCAACTTGAAGCTTCAATAAAGAGTTAAGCTTCATGTTGAGAATATTGAATTGTTTCCTAGACATTAACATGTGATCTGGAATGTTTTCCTCTTCTTGATCGAATTCAATATCAGCAAAAGAATCCATAAATTCACCATCTTTAGTGGTTTCATCTTCCTGGACTGGTTTGGCGCCTTCGGTGGATTGGGATGGAAATAATGAAGTAATAGGTTGATTAAGGATGTTTCCAAAGGTTGGTGATTGTTTGGATTGAGGTAAGGTGGTAGAAATAGAAGTATGGAATGATGGTAGAGAAACAGTGGTGTCAATGGTAGATGTATCGAAGGAAGATGAAATGATAATAGTCGAAGTACCTTGGGATTCTGTGGTGGTCACTCCTTCACCTATATTGACATTTGTGTCCATATGAGATATATTCGCAATGATGCTAGAAGTTTGAACCTCCTAATAAACTGATTCGTATGTAAAAATTCAGATGGTATGGCAACAGTCTGCTCAGGAGTGGATTGTTGCGAAGGATCACCTTGATTAGTGGTTGTGTCCACATTAGATGTGTGCACAGAGCCACCAAGACCTCCAATCTCCTTGATATTGGACTTGATTGGAAAGCCTCTCGTTGGTGATGGAATACCCATATCAAGATCACGATGTGGTGATTGAGATTTACCACTTTCATCAAAATTGGATTCAGGAGCAACCTATTCCAAAGAATCTTGAACAACTTTCTTCTTATTTTTAGATATCTATTTTGCCATATGTTCAGCTCTTATCTTTTTGGATTCTGGTGACATGGGAGTTGGAATTTCTCGAATAGCAACACCTTTGCTAGGTAGTTATGACTGGCGAATAATTTTGGATTTCGCATCTTTAACATTTAGCTTATCTAGAGAATTTTGAGGCTTGTGAGCCATTTTCTTCAAACATTTTAGCACACCATACATCGTAGGCAGAGTCTCCTTGACATGTGTAGTCTCTTCAATAATCGGTTGAGTAATAGGCTTGACAACTTTCTTTGGAGAAACTTTAACAACTTTTTCAACCAGTTCAAGACTAGGCTTCGAAGGACTAGCCTTAACTCCCTTCTTAGAACCTTTGCTCTTCTTCGATGGAC